ATCATAAGTGTTTATTGATTTCCAATACTTTGTTAATATTAAGGATACCTAATTTACTTTTTTTTCTTCTACATAATTTTTCATATAAGCTGGAAAACTCTCCAATATACTTTTTTTTATTAATAAACAAGCCATACTTTTAAACCATGGTAGCAATGGAACAAAGAACGATTTACAGAATAATTACATATTTTTTAACTACAATTGTTTTTGTAACTTTTAGAATGCTTAAGTGATGGTTAATTTTTAATTTGAAAAATACCTAATAATAAATTTTTAGCTGATATCCTTTGAGAATAACAACCATTGTTAACATTGTTTTAATATTTTAAACAAAATAATTTTCTATAAATATATATTATACATATATATAATATAATAAATATATATATTGCATTCATCCTACATCATAGTCAGTGGCTTTCTACTTGATGAACTTTCTACTTGAGGATGAACTTGAGGTTGGATGAATTGTGATTTTTTTTTGAGATTAGCAAATAGATGGGACAAATTTTAAATCTAAAATTAGTTTTTATCCAATTTTAAAATATTTCTATTAAAAATGTCGAAATACTTTCCTCTGTTTAAGCTGTTGGGATCATTTTCCAGAAATCCAAAAAGTGGATTCTATTAAGTAACAAAACCAATTTGATTCACTTTTTTTACCGGTTTTAAAATAAATTACAGCTCAGATATTACTGTTTTATGAATACTTAAATGAACATTATCAGAATACACTTTGAGAACTCATGAGTCCAAAAGTTACTCTACTTATTTTTGAAGATCAAAATTAAACATTTCTCTTAACAATAGTTTTCTTGCAAAGGTTTTGAAATTTTAGTTTTTAAAAATTCATTACACATTTTTATAGGTAAAGTTTAAAAAAAATAAACAATAACTAACTAGTAATATTGTGTATTGTAGCAGAATTCATAAATTTAATCGTTTTAGCCATGGCAACCAACTTTTTCTGATCAGGATGATAACTCATGCATAACTGTATATCACCTATTTCATTCTAAATAAAAACAATACAACTTTAAATCATTTCATTCTAAATAAAAACAATATAATTTTAAACCATCTCATTCTAAATAAAAACAATTTAATAGGTTACAATATAATATAAACAATATAATAGGTAACAATATATTAGGGGTATGAATAAAAAGCACATTTCATTTTTTCAGAAATGGCATAGCGGCAAAAGACAAACCTTTACTTGTATTAACTTAATATAATAATACTTGTTTTCAACTCCACCGCCAGTGCAGATGAAAATTTGATCCTAGCTATCTAAAAATGCAAAAAATTCAAGTTTTTGAAAAATTTGAGAGTTATTTTTAAGTTTACTTCACCGTCTTTTTTTGTTTCCAAAAGTTTCATTGAGGTCTTGACTAGAATTAGAAGCACGTTCTGTACTGTAATGTAGAACAAAAAGACCAGTGACAAAATCTTTTAAAATCTGGAAATAAGTATATAATATATAGCGATATATAAACATAGCCTCAATAAGTTCCAGTTTGATGGACTGGTTTTCAGCCATTCTGTCTAAATGTAATTTTTCACAAATCAAAGAAAAATCCATTTTCCAGTTCAAAAAATATTTAATTGTTATATAACTTCCAGGCTTTTCTGTTTGAGCTAATTCAAGAACTAATTTATATAATTATATAATTACTTTACAGATAATGAATAAAAATAAGAACAATATACTTTTTAAATTTTCTAAAAGGCTGGAGATACTGTCGATCTTATTGTCTTTATTATTGCAAGTATCTAAAAATTTTAATGTCTCCTCAAATTTTTTACTAACCAACCTTTGTTTCCTAATGGACTCTTATAACCTTTAAACTTTTTTCTTCACTTTCCCTTTTGCAAAAATTTTTTCGCGCGACATTTTTTGAACATGCAATCCTTTCTGATCATTGAGAAAATTTACATCTTCTTGTCTACTTTTTAAAACTTGTGTTTTATATTTCAAGACAATGTATTTTTTATTTTTCATCAAACAAATCTTCCTATTTTAAATTTTTGCCTTTATGGTTTTGAGTTTGTTTAAATTCTTGCCATTCCTTTAAAAGTTAAAATTCTTGTCTCTAAATGGAATATCAAAAGTAAAAGAACTCATTATAAATAGTGTAACTAAAAACATTTATATATTGATATTTTTATTATAAAAAACATATTATGACTGAATTGTACAATTGTATAAAAACATATTATGACTGAATTGTAAATTTACAAGCATTTTACTATAATATAGTAAACATCTGATATGTTAGTCAGTATTTTCTTCACCTAATAAAGGGCGAATGGTAAACTTTTTTATCATGAGACAACCTCCTATATTAATACATCAAGCCGTAAAAAAACAGATATGAAGCTATATTTATTGTAGAAATGTTTGGAAAATAAACACATAGGATAACCTCTGTAATTCAGTTTTCTTAATAATTTTGTTTTAACAAAAAAATATCTTAATTTTGTTTTAACAATTGCTTGTCAGCATTTTTTTATTTGCAAAAAAAATTTTTTAAAATTTCACAAAATTCTTTTTTGACTCCTCCCCCTTTCCTTCCACTCTCAACAAACCATTGAAACTTTTAGAAACAAAAGTAGATGTAAACTGAAGTAAACTTAATGGTTGTAGCTTATCATTGTTTAAAATTTAAAACAACTGATAAAAATCTTAGATAAAAACCATAAAACACTCTATCTTTAAATCAAAAATGTACAATTACAAAAATGCTTTATATTTAAAGTGCATGCAAAAAAAATTTAAAAAGACCCCCCCAACCTCTCAAATATACACATGATTGCAAATGGTTAAGATCTACTCTTCCCATCATTTTTACCAAAAATCAAAACATAATCTAAAAGTAGATAGATCAAGCTACAAAAATAACTTTCATGGTATTTTAAAAAATTTGTTAAGAAACCCTGTCCCTACTATAAATAAAAAAACTTGAGTTTTTTTTAGATATTTTTAGACAGCTGCGACCAAATTTTCATCTGTACTGGCGGGGGGAGTTTTTTGTGGCGGGGGAGTTTATTTTCGATTTGGAAAAAAGTATTATTATTTTAGGTTAATACAAGTAAAAGTTCATCTTTTGCCGCTATGCCATTTCCTTTAAAATAAAATGTGCTTTTAGTCATACCCCTAATTTATATATGTAAATACAGTTCGTTAAACTACTCATTTTATTATCAAAATATGTTAGAAATCATGGTATTTGACAAAAAGAATAATTATGAAACATGTTCACTTATCAATTTAAAACTTGGTATGGTGTAAGCTTTCAAATAATTAGCTAAATTGTTAGGAATAGAGCGAATAGGTTTTCTTAAATATTCAGGAAACATAAGTTAAATCTATACTCAGATTCAACTTATGTTTCCAGCTTAATTTTTTCTCGTAGATCATCAGAAAAAAGGTTTTCAATTTCTGGACTTTATTTTCAAGATAATTGCAGCAATTTTTAATAGGTTTGAGATTGGGTGAATTAATAGATCAGGGACCAATGACCGCAATCCAATTTTCATGTAACCAATTAGTTACAAGCTTGACCCGGTCACATAATGCTCTATCATGTTGTAGGCGAGCGGTCAATTAAACCGGCTAACATATGAAATTGACGGTCAATTTTTTTTTTCGGATAGTCAAATTTTTTGCTTTTTTCTTTGTTTAAATTTTTATCTAAGTTCTTCATGATTTAAACTAAACACACAAAATAACTTAATGCTTAAAAATTAACAAACTTGTATTCTTTTTAAAATAATAATTTCAAACAAAATCAATGCATTTTTAAAATTTAAAAATGCTAATAACTAACATTCAAACTACCTGCTAAAGTTAATTTGTTTAAAATAACACCTGTGCATACAGATTTTCATTCAATTAAAAAAAAAAATTTGATAATATCCAAGTAATTTAATGTTGAAATTTTTCTTTTTTCAATATTAAAAACAAATTTTATACAATATGAAAAAAAATTTAAATTGAATACTTAATACTAAAAAAATAGTTTTAGAAATGCTATCGAAAAATGTTTGTCTCTTTTTATTTGCCTCCATTAAGATGACGTTTGATGATCCTATTACAATTCAATAATAGTTAGAAAAAAAATTTGTAAACGTGCAATAGATAATTTTAAATTTATTATATATATATATATATATATATATATATATATATATATATATATATATATATATATATATATATATATATATATATATATATATATATATATATATAAATATGAGTCAAGTTCTTTTTAAACTTAAACCATACCCATAGTAACCAAAAAAATTAAACATAAAAAACTATTTCAACTAACTGTTTTGTGGTCTTTAAAACAATTTTCTATCAGTTTGAATTTTTTTCAAAACTCCCCAGACTTGTGAGACTCTACTCTTTGTGAGACTAATTTAAATTCGGCTGTTTCTTTTTTAGATCTCAGTATTTTTGGGTGCTATCTTTTGATTCACAAATACTCCAATAATCACATGATTGGCTTGGGTTTATACTTATGCACCAGTTCACCTATTTGTGGAGAAATCAGGTTTGAATCTTTTGACCATTCTTTTATATGCTTCCGCTTAGCACCATTTGACTCAATCACCTTTCTCTTTGTTCTTTATTGTTCTCCTTCTTCTCAAGACTGCACTCTTTTAGATGTGATTTAAATGTGTGCCTCTCACACATGAAATTTCTGATCAAATTGACCAGATAGATAGACTCACAGATAGTTTACTTTGTAACTGGTTTTTCAGACAACCCTTATCACTTAACTTCATTCCTTGATTTGTGTTTTTGTTGACTTCTTTTTACGATTTTCTTCATGACGGTCCTTGGAAAGATGTTTTTTCTCTCTCCATCGATAAATGTGCCTCCTATCTAACCTCCTAGATCCAGGCAGGTGTGAAAGCTTTTATTCCTTTTTGTCAGTTCCAAGTCAAGCCTTGTTCTGCTTCATGGTTTTCATCTCCTTGTGCAGCTGCTATGTCTATTAATAATCATTATTTAACTTTTTCAAAAGAACAACTGTCTTGAGAACAAAAACCTATTTATTTTTGAAAGAAATCAATGTAAAATGGTTCTGTCAGATACTAAACTTCACTACTCTCAGTATTCACCTGTATTTTATCTCAGAAGTTAGGCTCTAGAGACTTTTGTGAAATTTTCAACAGCGTTGTTGCATCATTAACAAAGGTACAGATAACATTTCATCTCTAATTCATGGGACTGATCTTATCACTTCTCACAATGATGATAAGGCAGAATTATTTGCAAAGAATTTTCTTCCAATTCATCTCTTTAATTTTATGGCCATAACTATCTTGTCATTCCAGTTAAACAGGATAGCCCATTGTTAGATATTCAAATTACTCCAGATTCCGTTGGTAAATTCATGTTTCAATTAAACTCTTTTACGGCTTGTGGTCATAGTTGTAATTCCTGTAATAGTCTTACATAAGCGTTTTCTAGAACTCTCTTTAATTCTCCATAAACAATTTCATAAGTACTTGATTGAATCTTGTTTTCCTGCCTGCTGGAAAATAGCATCTGGAAATGACAAACTCTGGAGAACATTCTGATCCCTCCAGCTATTGTCTAATCAGTCTTCTTTCTATTATTAGCAAGGTTTTTGAACCTTTAATCCTCGAATTTCAAACATCTTATTTTGAAACTAATAACTTACTTTCTGACAATCAATATGATTTTCAATCTTCTTGTTCTACAGCTGACTTGATAACTGCTGTGACTGAAAGATTCTATGGCTCATTGGATGGAGGCGAGGAGGTAAGGCCTATTGCTCTTGACATAGAGCAATAACCCTTGGCTCTATGCTCTATTGTTCTCTATAAGAATGCTTCGTATGGTGTATCAGGGTAAATTTTTAAGATTAATTATTTCTTTCTTATTGCTTTATTAAAGTCTTTATAAAGATTCTTCTCGAAGATTCTTATTACTCTTATCATTTTTATTAACTTTTCAGGTACCTCAAGGTTCTATCTATCTTTGGTCCTGTTTTAAGGTACTTCAAAGTTCTATCTATCTTTGGTCCTGTTTTAAGGTACTTCAAGGTTCTATCTATCTTTGGTCCTGTTTTGTTTCTTATCTATATTAATAACCTTCCTGAGATTTTTACATCTGCTCTTTTTGCTTATAACTCAACTTCATACTCCTGTCTTTACAAAAAGTCTTCTTTTTTTGATTGCTATCAACAAGTATTGAATCTCACTTTGATAACATCATGAGGTTTGCCATGGCTTGTGAATTTTAACTCCAATCACAACACTGTCAACATTCCTATATTGATAAATATCAACCCTCTTACTGAGCCCTCTAATCGATTCTTGCATGGAATACTGTTGTCATATTTGCACTGGTTCTTCTAATGATGGTCTTTCTCTTTCAAGCAAGGTCCAAAAACGCATTGTAAATGTAGCTGGACCTGCTTTATTTGCCAAGCTTGAGCCTCCTCCATCATCCTAAAGTTTCATTTTTTTTCTCTTTTCTTCAATTACACTATGTAACTTTTTACATTCGTTCATCTTACTTAACTGATGCTCAACCCATTCCCCATAATATACCAGGCCTTATTTTAAAGCGTAAAATACCGCGCTATTTACGTAAGTTGCCATTTCATTTTTTTTTTTAAATTAACATATTTTAATATGTCAATTTTTGTATATTTTAGTACGATGATAAAAAATGTAAAATTAAATTCAATTTAATTAATGCAGTAGTGGTAGAGTCTTATAAGAAAGAAGATTCTTGTTCGTCAAGGATCGTGTCTCGAAGTTTTAGAGTTGATAGAGGGTTGTAACCACAACTAAAAGTTAACCATTATCTAAAACCTACTTTTAGGGAAATATAAAACATAAAAAGTATTAAAAATCATCACCTAAAATCTACTTTTAGGGAAGTTTGTTCATGACTAATACTAAACAAAGTTACTTAGAAATAGAATTAACGTAAAAAATTATGCTTAACATAGAAAAAAATTAAAAATAAAAATTAAATTGAGCTTTAAAACTAATTGAACTTATATAGTAGTTTATCATATTATCAAACCATGTTAAACTCTGTTGGTTCATTGAGTTAAGATCATTGGAAAGTATTGATCATTGAGATTGTAACAATTATTTTTAAATATCATCTTTAAAACCATTACATAATAGTCCATGAATATTAAAGTTGTTTCTTAAACTAAAAAGTTTTTAAACTTTTAAAAAATCTTTTTAATCGATTATCATAATTTGAACTCATTAAAGTTTCTGACAAAGTTAACAAGTTTTCAGTTCACAGAGTTTTGAATATGAAACTATATGATATATTAAAAATATATAGAATATATTTTTATTATATCCTAGCAGCAGGATATATTTTTATTATATCCTAGCAGTAGGATATATATTTAATATATCCTAGCAGTAGGATATATATTTAATCAACTGCTTTTATCAACTGCTTTTTTTTTTTACTGATAAAGAAAATTTTTTTTGGGATTTAATCCAAGAAAATGTGAAACTTTTCAGAGCTCAACAAACCTCCATTTTAAAGTTCCAAAGGTTTTAATTTAATTAATTTTATTTTATTAAATTAAAAATAAATTTAAAAAAGACTTTTGAACCCTGATGATGATGATGCTAATGATGATGCTAATGATGATGATGATGATGATGATTATGATGATGATGCTAATGATGATGATGATGATGATGATGATGATGATGATGATGATGATGATGATGATGATGATGATGATGATGATGATGATGATGATGATGATGATGATGATGATGATGATGGTGATGATGATGATTAAGGACCAACAAATATTTATTAAAACTATGATTACAAAATTTATTGAAAGGCAAATTAGATTTCGGATTTAACTTTGATGTCGAACCAAAAATATAAAATTCCATTTTCTGTTAAATTTGGTAGCAATTCAAAATTTCTTTTAACTCTTAGTTAAATTTGAATGTTATTAATTTTTATGAATTAAAAATTATAATTATAAAATATTATAATTAGAATAATAGAATAGAAATATTATATATTATAAATAGAAGTGAATAACCAAAATATCTTCTTTAGGCACAAAATCTTTTTTATTCCTTACTTATTAAATCTTGTTTATCACATTTAAAAATCCTTTAATCCTTTAAAGAATATTAAACATAATATTGCCTTTTTCCTTCATAAAATTGACATTTTTCAATGAATTTTTAAATCTTGCTAATTAGTGCAGCATTAGAAATGACTGGAATTGTGCACAAGTGGATGAAATCATGAAATTTTCACCAATAACTCAGAAAATTATGCTTATCATTTTAAGATATGGTGGGAAAGTGTAGGATGACCAGAATTGACTTAAATCTAAGATGACAGTTACCGCCATCTTGGATTTATAAAACCATTAGTAAATTTTAAACTGTTAAACTAATCTTTACCAAAATCTTAGGGAAGGTAGAACATAGCAAGTATACATTGATCGCCGATTCGCCAATGAGGAGGGTAAGCGTTAGGGCACAGCCCTCTTCCCCAAAAAAAGTCCCCCCTCCCATACTAAGAATAACATTTTCTCAAAAGTTATATTTAAAATATTGGTATCTACTTTTTTTAGTATTATACTTACATTTTTGTAAAAAAAAAAAGAAGTACATATTGAAAAAAAGGTGTCTAAATAGAAGGTCCTCCAAATGGCTCTGATTGTTCGCTAATCCGAAAACAACATGGGTGCAAAAATTACGACGTAAGTGACTGCCACTTGAATAATACAAGGCATCAGTGATTGAGTGCTTTTACTTAACCTCAGTATTATACCTTAATAATATAAAAGTTTTACTTGTAATTGCACATGGTGCTGCAGTGTATATACTTTGATTATAAAAGTCATATAAAATGTTTCATTTTTAAAAAGCACCCCTTCCCATAATTTTTTTTAAGGTGCAGGTCTAATGTGGGGGCAGGCTAGAGAAAATTAATAATGAAGCTAACTGCACTCTAGAATAAATTTATAATTAAAGTAACAAGCAAAGTACCAATTTTTTAATTTATCAGAGATAAGTTCTTAGGCATTTTTATAATACATAAAATATGTAAAGAGTTCGCAATATAACAATAAAATGCACAAATATTGCAAATTTATTGAGATTTCAAGTGCAAAATATACAACAATAAAGCTAAAATAAAAACATATGATTTTAAATACAAAATATATGTAGTCTAAGCTAAATTCAGCAAAATGGATTTATATTAGACACTCCCTCAACGTCACAGAAATCAGCAACTTTTGACAAAAAAGTTTAATTTAGAAAAAAAAAATTAGCCTTAAAAGTAGATCTAAAGTGGTCAGAAAATGCTGGTATGCATGTATATCTTTGGCATAGCTAAATTGGAGCAGTTGGAGCAAATGCTCCAAGAGCACAGAATTTCAGGGAAATTTTTAACTATTACCAGAAAGTTTGCCAGCATCCAATTTATGTAATTACTTAAATTGAATAAGCATAAGTTAGAAAGATGTGCAACTTTGTATACTAATTTTCTATGTGTAAAAAAAGCTTCATGCTTTTATCCACTTTTGCACAACTGTTATGCTAATCTGCTGCACTAAATGTAATTTTATCAAAGTTCTTTTAAAAACTTTATTTGCTGTAAAGATTGTATAACTAAGTTACTTGATTTCACATTTTTGCTGCATTTTAATTTTAAACACAAATTTTTTTTTGTAAACATATAATCTTTTTAATTAAATTATTAGACTGCTTCACTTGTTTTTGAAATATAGTTAATTTGAGCAGGCTATTATTTAAGAAATAATTTTAGTTTCTAAAAAATGATTGTTTGAAAATGTACATTAATTGTTTTTATAAAATTAATAATGTTTATTTACAATGTTATATAAAACAAACTTTTTTTGGAATTAAAACATAATGTTTTGATTCCAAAAAAAATTTGTTGTTCATGACGGGTTTTTTTGGTTTTTTTTCCAAGTTTTTTAGTCATTAATAATCTATGAAAACCTTGATTAATAGTATTATAAACGCAGTTTACAGTATTATAAATTGTAAACGCTTATAGTATGTGTATATTATCAATCAAAATGCAGGATAAGTCAGTTAAATTCAAGATATATCTGTTAATTGTTATAATATTTCTTTTGCCTAATCACTATAATAAAAAAGATAAGTTTGAACTTGGCTTTCAGTTAAATGTGGTTTTAAAGTCAAAATTTGACTTTCAGTTATATTTAAGGAACAAATTTGAAAAAAAAATCAACTTTGACAGTCCTTGGTGATGATGATGATGATAATGATGATGATGGTGATGATGATGATGATGATGATAATGATGATGATGATGATGATGATGATGATGATGATGATGATGATGATGATGATGATGATGATGATGATGATGATGATGATGATGATGATGATGATGACAAAACCTTGTACAATGAGTTGAACAAGGTCATAGTGGAAGGCTAAGTTTTATAAATTTTCTTATTTAAAAAAAACAAAAAAACTTTGCTTTTAAATATCCTCCTTTCATATTTTGTGTGCAACATTTTAAAATAAAATAATAAATAAAAAAGAAAACCTGTGCAGAACATGGCTTTATTCCAACACTTAAATCTGTTGAAATTTGGTTATAAATCTCATAATTTAATAATGATATCCGCGTCTCACCATAAGCAATCTCCTTCTGGGATTTTTCAACCAATTTAACTGCAATATAAATTGTACGAGCTTCAAAGTCTCGATTTTGAGGCTTGGATAAAAAATGAAAAGTCTGATTAATATTCTGAAAATTCGCTTGCTCTATTATTTTAGATTGATATGCTACTTGTCTATCAGGCAAAAGAATAGTTTCTAAGCGAATTCCAATTATATTTTCAACTAAATGTGTTAAATTTAACAGTTCATTAAAAGTTATTGAAAGTGTTTGCTTTGATATATCTTCATACTGTAAAGATAAATTTATTTTACCAAGTGAACCAGCCCCCTGAGTATTTCTTCTCTCTGATGCATATATGTCTAAATTCAATTGATCTTGAAAAGATTCTGATGAAGTATTTGATGAGAAAGATCTCAGTGAATTACTTTTATGAACTTTTGTATGTAGTTTTGGCTGAATGGGTTCTTCTAAAAATAATGTTCTTTTGGAAACATCATCTTCCGATGCACTTAAAACACTAAAATAGTCAGATGTTGATGAACTATCTGGTTGAACAGTATGTATTTGAGTTTTTCCTGGGATTTCAAAATTATCAACATGTAGATATAAACTTTCATGGGAATAAGCTTTTTGAGGTAAGTGAGTTGAATTTCGAAATCTTGGCAACCTTTGGACAGATTTTTTAAAAGATTCATTTCTTGTCTCATTTTTCATTGACTTTTTCCAGAAACAACAATTACAACATGAATTTGCTTTTCGAAAATATTTGAGAAGAGAAAAAGTAAGAACGGTTAAAACACATAATGTCAAAGCAACAAACAAAACAACCTTATAGACTCCTTTTTCTTCACGATCAACTGCAACTGGCATAATTCTATTTTGGGCATAATTTCTAAAAAATTAAAAATAAATTCTCAGTAATGTAAAATCCAGGTTTTAAGTTAATAATGATAAATGTATATTAAATTAAATACTAATTTCAATATTAAGTAATTTTGTATTTAATATTGATTAAATATAGATTAAATAAATAGATACACTTAAGTCAAGAAGCCTAATGGGAAATTTACAGAAAATAGTTTACAAAATAAATTTATAGAAAACAACAGTAAGTAGACCTTGCTTAAAAGTGCAAGAATTAAATTAAATGAATTAAATTAAAATTGAGCAGTTGTGACACAGCAGTTGTGACTGCTGAAAGACTATACCAAATATGCAGTAGTAGCATTAGTATTATTATTATTATTATTATTATTATTATTATTATTATTATTATTATTATTATTATTATTATTATTATTATTATTATTAGTAGTAGTAGTAGTAGTAGTAGTAGTAGTAGTAGTAATCTTTTTTTTTCAGTTTGTTCTTTAATTTGAAAAAAAAACTTTGTTCTTTAATTGAAAAAAAAAAACCATTTTACTTTTGAAAAAAAGTATTTTACTAAATTTTTTTTTAATTTTTTAGTTTTTTCAATTTATTAGTAATTTCTGTAACCTTATTTGTATTATACTATATATACTTAATGTATTTTTTTATTTTGTTATAGACTAGAACAATTATAGCTCTTTTGAGCTAACATAATTAATTTGGTTATTCTTTACAATCAAAAGAGCTAAAATATTATTATGAAATAAAAGAAAGATGGATCGATTCATAAAAACTGATAGACTTGGTATAGATCCAAACTCAACAGATGCAGCAAAAACATACAACCATTGGTTAAGAACATTTTACAATTTTGTAAGTGCAGTTGATGATAACTCCATTAAGCTTAATCTCCTAATAAACCATATTGAACCTGATGTGAATTCATATCAGAGTGTGATGATTTTGAAAGAGCAACAAGTATTCTCGAGTCTATCTACATAAAACCAAAGAATGAAATATTTGCCAGACACATTTTGTCAATACGGAAGCAAAAACTGAGCGAATCAATAGATCAATTCTTAAATGAACTTAAAAATTTATCTAAGAGCTGTACGTTCACTGCTGCAAGTGTTGAGCAATATAAATCTGAAATGATTTGCGATGCTTTTATAAATGGTTTACTCTCTAACCATATACGCCAACATTTACTAGAAAACAAGATATTAGACCTTTCATTAGTCTTTGACCAAGCTAGATCTTTAGAGGTGGCCCAACAAAATTCAAACTTATATTCACAATCAACTATACCTACCTCTGCCTCTATGCAGGAAATCAAATCATCTTTACAAAAGCAATCCATAACTGATAATCACTTAGCTGCTACAGTAAAATCAAAACAATTGTGCTGGTTTTGTGGAAACATAACACATCCACCTAGTAAATATCCTGCTCATGAAGCAGGATATTTACTAGGTGGATACAATCACAAGGAAGCACAATCTTTTTACATCTGTCACAAATGTAAAAAGATTGGTCATTTTACATTTAGATGGGCTTTAAAAACTTTGAAGACCATCTAATGTTTCTGCTGCTATTCCTAAAATTGATGATGATAATTACTTCTGTGACACCATATTAGCTTCAGCAAACTCTCTCTTCAGAGTCTGTCATAACATCATTGTTATTTATAAGTATAAAGCAGAAGCTTTAATTGATAGTGGGAGTACAAACAAAAGTTTTATTAACAACAAACTAGTGGTTCTACTCAATTTAAATGTTATTTATGAACAGAGTGTAATCGGAATAGCATCAGCTTCTTTATCAGCAAAATCAGATGGATATTGTTTTGTTTCAAAAACTCTTCAAAACAAAATCTATAGCAAAGTCAAGTTGTATGTGCTAGATAACTTATGCATAGATATTATTCTTGGCACAGATTTTCAAGAGTTGCATGAGAGTATTACAATTAAGTATGGTGGGAAAAGACCACCCATAACATTCGCAGCTTTAACAATAATGAAAACTGAACCTCCTGAATTGTTTGCTAATCTCACAAAAGATTGTCAACTGATTGCCACTAGATCTAGAAATTATTTTCAAAGAGATAAAGAATTTATTAAATCTGAAGTCCACCGCCTGATCCAAGCAGGAATAATAGAGCCTAGTAATTCACCTTGGTCTTAGTAGTAAATGAAAAGACTAAATGCCGCATGGTTGTTCATTATAATACCAAATAGCTTTATCAAAAAAAGATCGACCATATACTGCTTTTGAAGCTGACAATAAGTTGTGGTTATATACTAGAATGCCTTTTGGAATTACCAATGGATCTGCATGTTTTCAATGCAAAATAATATTACAATATGTGGTAATAGTCAGAAATAACATGATGAAAATCTACTTAAGTTCAGATTAGCTGCCATTGATGCTGGAATTACATTTAAAGAAGAGAAGTGTGTATTTTCAACTGAGACTTTAGATTTTTTAGATTATCGTATATCTTATGACTTCTTAAAACCATATTCTAAGAGACTTGCTCCTCTTATTAAGTTGCCCCCATCGGATAATGTAAAGTCTTTACAGCATATTATTGGAATGTTCTCTTACTATGCAAGAAAGTTTTCAGATGAAATTAGACCTTTAAACTCTGTTACTCCACCAGCAGCAAATATCAGCATTTAAAACATTAAAAAATGAGCTTTTCAATCTTCCATGCAAACCATTGATGAGAATATACCTTTTATTGTGGAGACTGATGCTTCTGATTTTGCCATATCTGCCACACTTAATCAGGATGGAAGACCTGTTGCCTTCCATTCACGAACTCTTCAAGGTAGTGAACAATACTATTCATCAGTGGAAAAAGAATCTCAGGCAATAGTTGAAGCCATAAATCATTGGTGCCATTTTCTTTTGGGTCGACATTTCATTCTCATCACTGACCAAGGATCTGTGGCATTTATGTAGGATTATAAACCAAGCAGTAAAATAAAGAATGATAAAATAATGTGTTGGAGAATTGCTTTGTCTCCATATTCTTATGATTATCCATTATCATCCTGGCCAATGTAATAGTGGTCCAGATACATTTATTCGAGTTAGATGTGCAGCAATAAGTTCAGAATCTTTATATGATTTGCATGCTCCCCTTTGCCATCCTGGTGTTACTCCCTTCCATCATTTTATTCGATCAAGAAACCTCCCTTATACAGTAGAAGATGTAAAACAAATATGTAGGGATTGTAGAATATGTAAAGAAACAAAACCCAAGTACTACCGCCTGATTGATGTGCACCTAATTAAAGCAACTCAGCCATTTGATTGTATATCTATTGGTTTCAAAGATCCATTACCTTTCTTCAACCACTGAACAATATATGCTAACAATTGTAGATGAATACTCACGTTTTCCATTCGTTTATCCTGTAAAAGATATGACAATTCAGACAATAATAAACTGTTTAGCTGATCTTTTTTCCATGTTTGGTTTGCCTAGCTATGTTCATTCGGATCGTGGATCTTCATTAATGTTTTCTGAATTGAAGCATTAGTTCTTATCAAAAGGGATCGCAACTAGCAGAACAACCCCTTACAATCCGACTGGAAATGGGCAAGTTGAAAGATACAATGGAATTATTTGGAAGTCGATATTACTCTGAAATCTCGAAATCTGCCAATATTATCTTGGAAAAGAGTTCTACCTGATTTACTTCATGCTACAAGATCTCTATTATGTACTTCTACTAATTGCAGTCCACATAAACGTCTATTCAATTTTCAAAGAAGATCATCATCTGGGTCCTCAATTACTTCATGGCTTGTTAACCCAGGACCTGTACTTATAAAAAGAAATGCTAGCTTCCATTGGAACAACTCCTATAGTATACACATTAAATAACAATTTAGAAGTAACAGCTATTAATAACTATCCCTTAACCCCTAACGGTAGCAATGAAACTTCTTTAATCTCCCAAAGGGAACTAGAAAACAAAATGAATCCTATAGAGCAAACCAACCTGCCTCCTCGTAGATCTACATGAATTTCTAAAACACTAGAAAAACTCAACTTATAAATACACCTAAACACTTTTAAGAGGAGGGTGAATGTTATGTTAATATGAAATATTTATATATACATATAAGTTTTGTATTATATTATATATACTTTATGTATTTTATTATTTTGTTATAGACTAGTATAATTAGAGCTCTTATGAGCCAACATAATTATTTCGTTATTCTTGACAATATTGATTTATAAAAAGATAATTATAAGAGGTAAAAAAGTTAAAAATTAGAGTTATTTTGGTTTTTATATATATTTATTTCTAACAATAAAAACTTTTTTTTTTTTCAAAACAATCTCAAGTATTGTTGATATAAAACTTACCAAGTTATCAGGGTTCATGGCAGTTTTGAAAAACCATTTTCCCTGAGTTTTCCCTGATTTTCCCTGATTTTCAAGTATTTTTTCCCTGAGTTTGTGCGGTGAAAAGTCTAAATATTTTGCCTATCAATGTTGAAAAATATAATACTTTTGCAACTGAATCCTTGTTCCCTAAATACTTTTTATCACTATTTTCTAAGAAATCAGAGACTGTTTTTAATTAATTTATAGCAATCCGTTAAAGGTGTTTTAAACAAGAAACAGAGCCATATTAATCTGCTAACTAAAAAAATAACAATTTATACATGTTTTGAAAAAACTAATGTGTTTTGTTAACAAAATATAAACTTCATGTGAGAACGAATATATTATTTTAGCAACTTTCTTTTTTGCTCTAAGATGTGCCTGCTCTAATTTCTTTATTCTAGCTTAAGTGCTAGCTCTAATTTCTTTACTTCTTCATTTTTTTCATTTGCTTTTTGTTTCATCGCATTAGCTTTAGAAATTAACCCTAGATCTTGCTTCTCCTCTGCTTCCTCAACAAATTTTACAAATCAAACTGCAACATTTCACTGGTTTTCTTCAGTTGATCTCTCCTCGTTTCAACATCTTTTATTTCATCGCTAACAACTTTTTTTGCCAATTGACTTGCTTCTTTTTTGTTAGTGTCTGCGATTGAATTTAGGAAGCTTCTATATCTTTCGTGTGCCGATTTTATGCTGATGATCATTTTGCTTGTAATTTCAATACTATGTGGCTGAAGATTATTTGATAGCATATGATCTTTGACTAAACGTCTTGCAGTTATTGATTTTTTAATTAAATTCTGTTCTAGTACTGTGGCATTTATACTAAAACCTCTCTCGACTGAGGCTTGTCCATGGCTTAGTGTTAATAATATTATAACAGTCAATGCAAACTTTTATATTTATTTAGGTTAAATTTTTTAAAATAGAAGTCGTCTAAGCTATCTCTTTCTTGATTGAGTTCATGAAAGATGTCTTGATAAACCCTTGATTTTCAAAAGAAATCTGCAAATTGATTTATAGCTTTATCAGAAAAGATTGGTGAAACATATTTCAAGCTAATCAAGTGGGTCAATAAAGATTTATACTTCTTCTCGGCATCTTCTTGAGTCATTACTACCATTGCATTTGGGTTAAGAACCTGAGAGTTGCGTACAATGATAGATCCTAGTGGAGTTCCGTCCATGAACTTTTCAATCAATCGAACATACATGTTAGTGCAATCTTTGTGAAAACTTTGAATATCAGCAATGGTTATTATATCTTTCTTTTGTAAAACAGCCAGTCTTGTTTCAGCTGCGAACCCTAGTTTGATTTGATTTCCTTTAAGTAGATTAGCTTTTTTATGAAAATCAACTTATTTTAGTTGGACTGAAATACAACTATTTTCAATAACATCTTGTTTCACAAACAAGCTCAGTATGGTTCGTAACAGTCTTTCTAAGTCACGATACATGAATGGAATCATTGGTTTGTCAGTTTGGTATGCCAACAAATATGGCTCTAATATGCTTGCAACAAAGCTTAAAACTTCAAATTTTAAAATAATAAGTTTGTTTTTAACAGCCTTTTTTACATTTAAAAAGCTTTTTGATTTAGGTGTTTCGAAGATGGTAACTTTTCCCCAAGCTCAATCAACTTACATATATTAGGCCAGATTTCAATGCAACAATCTGCAACAGATTTACTTTCAACCCATCTTGTTCCACAAAAAAAGAGAGGGTATTTTGTTGCACCTGTGACTGTTTCATAATCTTGACGTCTAGCTAGGCTATCATGAAGAATTTGCCAACACCCTTTTAAAGTTTCTTTAATATTCCATGTTGTTGATTCGATAGCTGTTTTGAAAGCACCATGGATTACATGCAAAGAGCAACTTCCAATATTTATAAGTTGTGGCATCTCGTTGTCCTTTCTGTGTTTATTAAGATCATCTAGAAATTTCAGATTTGTAGAGGGCCCATCCATGGAAACTTGATACATTTTACTTGAATCAAATCTTGATAAGTTTTCGTTGAAATGTGTAAGAAGGTCAGAAGCTGCAGAATGACCAAGAAATGCTGATGTCCAATATCTCACTTTAACTTTATTATTGCCATCCCAATACCGAACTAGTAGATCCATCTGACAAGTTTGGGTTATGTCGTTTAAACTCTCATCAAAAGATACAATGTAACAATCAGACTTTGTGATTTCTTCTTTTAAAAGTGTCTTGAAGTATGAGGCTAGTCCATGGTTAACAATGTATGATACTTTTGAGGTGCTCATAGTGAAATCTTCTGCTACCTTGCTATCAGGAAACATCTTTTTAAAAGTTTGCACATGAGTTATTAGAGTAGCAGCTCATTGTAGATATGATCTCAGCATTAGTTGATAATGATGATTTAATTAAAGAGACAATAGTTGCTTGTTTTTTGGTGAAAAATGTGGATATTTTTTCATCACTTCCAAGTGGTTTAGCATGCAACTCTTTTCCATTAATAAAGAAACAACTAGCAGGCTTTGTAGCAGACTGATGCTTCTCACCTAAAACAAGATAAACAAATAATGAAACATTTAAAATGTCTAAAAATTTTTATCTTTTTTCTCAATCTGTTTAGCTTGCAAAGTTTGAAATAACAATATAAGCAACCAACCAACAAGGAAAACAACTGAAACAGGTTGCAATCAAAAGTTGATTACAATGTGTTTGAAAATGATATTAAAATATAAAATAATGAATCAATCAAGCAACATTTCTTTTTAGTTCTCACTCTCACATTAAAAAAGTTAATATAAATACCTGCTGCATGACTTTTAACAGCCTGAATACCCATATTGGACAATTCAAATGATTTTTTACATTTTTTGTAATGAGCTTTAGTTTTTGCATGTGCGTTGGGAACTAACCAATCTTTATAAATATCTTGTTGTAACCAATCCTCTTGAAAATAAGTCTTTTCTGAAGTCATGTCTTATATTATTATATTTATTTATACATTTAGCTAAACATATAGTTACTATATAATATAAAAGTTAAAAAACCACTTTAGTGAGCAATTTTCAACAACAATAAACACTCAAAATGTGTATTTTGCAAAATAACTTCAAGCTAAATAAAAAACTAAAAAATATTCCCTGAGTTTTCCCTGATTTTACAGATTTTTAACAAATATTCCCTGACTTTTCCAGGTATTCCCTGATTTTCTAAATTTTTAAAACTTTTCCCTGGTTTTCCAGGTTTTCCCTGAGTGCCATGAACCCTGGTTATGTTTAATTTGGAAGAATTTCAGGTTTTGTTAGCAAGAAACATAAAACAACTATAATCATTGAAAGACTTTTTTTAAATATCCTCTTCTACAAACTATTTTCAATAAATGGAACTTTTTAATCATTTTAATCAAAATATTAAAATCCAATTTTTAGAGATTTATTATGCTCTATATGATGGTCAGTTAGAAAAAAAATTTCTGTATGACTTTTAACCATATTCAATGTTTTGTTCTCTGGTCAGAAAGTTTTTTCTTGGTTTGAACTTGAGTAAAAATTCTTTAGATTTTTTCAATTTTATTTATTCCAGTTTATTTTATTTAGTCTACTTTTATTTATCACCAACTTCTAGTTTAGTTGCACTTCTCTGGACTACCTCTATCGCTTTAATGTTTTGTATTCTATTTGGATTCCATATGGTTTATATGATTCCATATGGATACTTCAGATGTGGTATCACCATCGACGTGTAGAACATCTTAAAAATGGCAAATGTTAAACGGGCATCAATTATCAAATTTAGACTTTGAGAAAGACTTGGAAGTGATCATCAGTTCTGGCTTGAAAGTGGAACCGGCAAATCAACTCTGTAAAAACGACGTCAAATTGCATATTGGGTCAACTTAAAGACTCATTCAAAAACGATAAAGTTAAACTTCTGATTTGATTTACCAATGTGAGTTGCTTTACATTTGCTTTATTTTGCAAACTGATCAAGTCGTTTTTGTCTTTGATGATTCCAATTATTTTTTTTTCATCTACAAAAAGCTTTGATTTGTGTAGGGCTGCCGAGAGAGGGGGGGGGGGGCGCGAAAGTGACAGTCTCCTTGCTGTTTTCGATCTTTTAAATAGTTTATCATTGAGATGAACATCTTATTTACTATTCCGTATTCTAATAATTTCCCTAAACCAAGTCGTACTCATATTAGTAAAGATTTTACTCATATTAGTACTTTATATAGTTCTCTATATAGTCTTACTACATGTAAGTAAAAATTGTACTCATATTAGTTTAAACAATCAAGATATTTCCATTAAACATCTGGACTGCAACATAAACGATTAGATTGTTTAAAGGAAAAACACCAAAAGTTATACTGAGGAATGCAAGCAATCTTTTAAAATTTATTTTAAATATAATATGCTTATGATTTTATTTTATATAACTTAATATAACCTAGTTGCGGTATATTATAGAACCCTATAATCAGCTTTAATTATTAGACCGTCGAAATCCCAAGTTCCTGAATAGTAATTTTAAATGAAGACTTTACTCGGTGCTAGAAATATTTTAACTATTGTAAAGACATTTAGAAAACAGAATATTTCTCAAGAAAATAGAAGAAAATGAACTATTACTACCAGCCTATAATTATTTACTTATTAAGTAGAGAACCTTATAGCTCTGAGTGAAAAAAACATGTTTTTTGAATATTTATTGACATATACACTTTGTAAAAGTTAAAGCTCTTTTGATCTATAATTGTGTCCAAATAAAGGAATTTTTAGATTTTATTTAAAACAATTTGAAACAAATTGTCTGAGCAAAAAAAAACCTAAAGAAGTTCAAAAAGAGACAAAAGTTTTAATTTCTGTATAAAGAAGTTCAAAAAGAGACTTTAAAAGTTTTAATTTCTGTATAGAGAAAAAAAAATCTCTGGAAATTTTTTTTAAATGAAAGCATAATAAGAAAACAAATATTTACCTTTATTTCATTTCATTTAAAACCTAAGTTAAAGATTGTCAAATATGAGATTTTTAAAAAAAAAATTCGATTTAAGTTTTACTAATTCGCCTTAACTACATTGAGTGTTTAGTACTTGTTCAATGCTTTGCTGAAGTCTTTCATTATTATATCAACTAGAATGCTGTTTTTGGTAGCTTTTGCAACTAGATCAAACTATTTAAGCATGTTTGTTATTCAAGCATGACCTTCCCTTAACGAAGCCGTGTTGATCATTAGATATTAAATTATTTGTTGAAAGATGTTCTAATATTTTGTCCTTTATGATGTTCTCCATTACTCAACAGACCACTGATGTTATGTAAATGGGCCCGAAGTTTGAAATATCCAAATGATTTCCATTCTTTTGAGTTTACGTAACATTAGCTAGTCTCCATAATTCTGGTATTTACCACTATTAAACAACAATTTAAATATGAACAGAATTGAGTAAGATAATGACTCAGATCAGTTAGACGGTACACGGGGATGAACTCCGGAGTTCATCCCCGTGTGCCGTTGATGGCCATCAACACTACCTGATCTATGTTTGTTTAATTCCCTTAGTTTTTTTTCAACCACTTCTAATTTAAGATATTTTCAGTGTTGTCATTTGACGTTGGTTTGAATAAATAATTCTGGAAACTCGTTTAGATTTTTTTTGGCTAAAAGACTCCTGAAACTTTAGATTAAGCATTTCAGCAATTTTTTTATTTTCAATCAAAGTTTTTTCATAAAACAAAACATACGTACTTGTGTTGAACAGAATGTTTTGGCTGTTCTTTAATATGACAATTTAAAGTTCACCTTGTTTTTGAGAGAATCGTAAAAGCAAATTATTTATTACAGAACGCAAGTAAGATCAGTCAAAAAATTGGGGGCTGGAGGGAGGCGGGGTTGGCATTCTTAACCTACTTGAAAAAACAACATGTTTAACATAAAGGAAGAATACAGTAACAATAAGTTCTGTTCATCGCCTACAAAAAAATGGAAACCGCAAGTTCAAGATTTTGGTTAACCGCAATCTCCAAACAGGGAAGAGTGTGTATGAACGAGCCAGTTTTAAAAAGGTAGGAAAAAAAGTCAATTTTGATTAATTTAGAAAAAAAATTTCTTTAATTAAATAGTTACTTTATTGGCTAATATTATAAAATTAAAATAAATTGGATAACAATGCTAACAATCTGTCATACAACTATTTAAAAAAAAAGAAAGAAAACAGCTCTTTCATAACATCTTGTCAATGAAAAAGCCACTCTGTGCTAAGAATGAGCCGTAACAATTTTTCTAAAACTAACAAGTTTTTTAAGAGTAATAATCTATTAACTAGACTTCTAAAAATCAGATTGTACTTTAAGTTATAAAATTCTATGATAATCAATGATAAAACAAATGATAAAATAGCTTTAATATTAGTTTCACTATATTATTATAAAAATACGTCGCTTTTCGTAGTTAACACTTGTGAAGACATGTTTTTTTTTTTTAAAATAAAAAATATTAAATGAGAATGAAAAATATGGTGTATATTAATGCTAAAGTATTAATATACACTAGTCAAACGTTTATAAACAAAAATTTATGTACACTAGTCAAAAGAACAAATTGTTTTGACTACATCTTGACGATAAATGTTATCTATGAATCATAGTGATTATAAGGCATTTCACATATATTAACTATGCTAGTGATATATGAGTGAATACAATAATACAAAATAAGTTTTGACAAAATGTATGGAAGTTTGAAACAAAAATAAAATTTAATTATTAAAAAAAAATTATTTTAGCTTTAAGGGTCGTCCATAAAGTACGTACGTTTTTTTTTCGTCAACCCCGCAATTTGCCGTACGCTTTTTTGAGTACTCTCTACCTCCCTAAAAGAACCTACGTTTTTAACCTAATAACCCAACATTTTATGATATTTTTTTTAGTTTAACGTCTCCATACTTTTATAATTGACCTACTGCCTCCTTATCTCAGAAACGTCATTTGCAGACCTCCTCTTCCTCTCCGAGCGTACGTACTTTATGGACAATCCCTTAGTAAAAATTTTATTTTTACTTGAATTTATTTTTTAAGATTCAAACGCACCTACGTTTTACGACTTCAGGAAAAGTCATTCAAACAATTAATTTCAATAGAATATGATCAATGAAGCATTACGCTATATCCAAGCCTAACAACATTTTTATTTCAAAAAAACGTTAATAATATATTCTTTTTATTTTATTTTTTAAAAAATAATAGTGCGAGCTGATTTTTCATAAAAATGAGAAATATTTGTAGGACTAACTAAGGTTAGATTAAGTTAGAAATGATGAGGGGATTATTTCAAAAACTATTTATTATCAACCATAGTTGACAATAAATTTTTTTTTATAATTTTGATTTTACTTCATCTCGCTTTATCTTTTGCTTTTTAAATTTAAGTTTGAAAACTGCGCGAAAACCGGAAGAGAACCTGCACAACTTTAGAAAAATGGCAAGCTTTTATGGTAAATAGTGATTTGGAATGTTTGTTTGATAATGGTAAAGGAGGATTTTTAAACAAAGACACTAACTTAGCTGCACATATAAATTCGGGCGCTAATTTACTTTTCTATTTATTATAAAATTATGATAAAATCTTATGCTGATCAAGGTTCATATAAAACATAGGCCTGAAAATCAAAAAAAAGTTCGTTAATTTGATGTTAAAGTGGCTAAAAAGTCGCCACCTTTTTTTTCGAAATTTAGAAATCGTCAACAAGATTTTTTTTTTTAATTATGCCGCCTGGTTTTTACTACAGTCAGTGATTGTAAAGTTCCTTTTTTAAAGGATCTTGTTCCGTTCCCCGTTCATTTTGTAAAATAAGAACTAATTCCAGTTCCTCGTTTTTTAGTCAAAAAGGAACTCGCTCTACGTTCCTCAAAAAAAGAGAACTACATCGTTCTACATCGTTCCTTTTTTTATACATAATTTTTATTTTGAATTTATTGTTTTAGATGCTTTTTTAACGTGTTTAATTTAGTTACGTAGTTTAAATAGTTTTTAAACATTTCTGGTATCCTGCTGGTCAAGTCTGCATTAGCATGTACTAAAGTATACATAAATAAATACAATTTCAATAATTTTTTATACACATATAAATATACACATATAAATGATATATCAATTTCAATAACTTTTTTTCAATAACATTTTCAATAACTGCAAAATCACCGCGTGCAAACTAGAACCGCGTGCAATAAAATTTTGTTGAAAAATATATTATACAAGGAATTTTTCGGATTTAGTTGGCTCAATCCGAGAATTCTTTCTCTTTCCTCGTTCCCTTATTTCAAAAGAAGTTCCTAGATTCGTTTGTCAAAAAGAGAACTAGTTCCAGGAATTTGTTTCTTTTGGAACGCGTTCTTCCAAACAATGAATACAGTATATAAGTAATTAAAACTTCATTTTTATGATTCCGATTCCGGTTTGAAGAAATAAAAATTAAAAAAAAATAAATGTGACTATTTATACATACTGAATGTATAAACTGAATTGGCTTATTATACATACCAAGAGTACTTTTTTATTTTTTGTACATATATCGACTGATATCGACTGATTTAACGACTGATTTAAGTAAGAAGAACATGCAAGCAGTGTGCATACATTGACTAAGGGTTTGGCAATGGGCAGGCAATCTTAATACCTACCGTAACCCTAACCCTTTCACTGTGTTTGTACACTTTCTGCATGTTTTCTCATCTCTATTTTTAGCTAGCAAAGTTATAAGGTCTACTGAAGTCATGCAATAATTTTCGGCAATAGTGGCATCTTTGAAAGATAATCAAAGAGAAGACGGTTAGGTATTCGGTGCAGCATGAACAAATTTTTTGTAAGCTTTGATTTTGACTGAATTATTACTTTATCATCGTTATATTATAGCTTTTGTATTTTTAAATCAGTCAATGTAGGTGTATTCCCTACATGTTGCTCAACGACAAACAATTAAAAATTTGACAAAATTACTCAACCGGAGCCATAATTTAAAAACAAAACGTTTTTGCATCGTT